ATTCCCTATCCAACCCACCCTGTTTTCTGGAAGATCACCAATGCATTGTAGTTTTCTCGGGAAATCAGTGGTGTCACGGAGATAGCTGGGAGTGCTGGTGGCATAGGGTCTGAGTAAACAGTCCACATATCCGGACAGTCCTTTAGTGAGAGTGCCAATTCCAGAGATGATGGGGCGTCCAGGATTTTCAGGTTTGTGGATCTTGGGTAGTAGATAGAATAACCCCGGTCGGGGCTCTAAGGGTATGTTGATTTGTTCCATATGTTTGTATGTCTATTTCAAACTTGGGCTATGCTTCTGGGTGACACTCCCAGACAGTTTGGCATGAGCATAGCCTAGCATGCTTGATAGCCCATTAAGAACCATCAGCTTTACAACTGACCCATTGAGAGAAGGCAGAGGATACACCTCATGACTCAGCAAGGCATGCATGGGCATACCTATGGTCACAAAAGGCTTCCAAGCCATGTGCGAGGCAGCTTGTGTTTGAAACAAAGGAAGCACAAGCAACCTGGCAAAAGACTATAAAAGGCAGCTGCATCTTCTCCATTTTGCTTCAATCCTGCTTCTTACCCCTGGAAGAACTTTGCTACAAACTGAAGCTCTGAACAAAGGACTGAATGACCCATCCAAGCTGTGGATGTATTCCAGAGGGACTTTCAAGCCAGCAAACTCACCAGTTCTGCTAGGAACCTGATATATGGACTTTGAAGTCTTTATATGTATATGACTGTTTTACCATTTAACACCTCTCTCCTTGTTCTTTCCTTTTTCTTTATAATAAACCTTTAGTTTTAGACACTAAAGGATTGGCTGGCAGCAGGATATTTTGAGTAAGATCCAAACCTATACTGACCTGGTGACGTGGCTGACCCTTTGGGGTCAGAAAACATTTTTGTATATGTGAGCAGAGTTTAAAATAACTTCTCACTGTTCTGGACCTACGTGCTGATTGGGAGCCAGAGAACTGGAATGCAATAAAGGGGACTGTGTGATTTCTTTTTTGCTTCTTGATAACCAGTGTGGAGGATCACAAGCACAGTTTGTGACTGGTTGAGGAGAATAACTTCAGTGTTACCCACCAGTCTTGGGAGATCTGCTCTCCCTTTTGCAGCCTGCCCTGACCTTCGTATTTCCAGTGAGGGCTGCCCCAGCACCATGAGTCACACCTATAATTGAGTTTTTTCCTGCCTAAATAAACAGTATAAATTCACCACTCCCATAAAACTAATCCATCAGCTTTAGCCCTATTGCGTTTCTTAAATAAGGGCCTGCTTCCACTGATATCAATGGGCTGAAGGTAGCATTCCTTTGTACTAGGAAAGATCTAGAATACAGATTGATCCTCGAAAAATCAGTGTCTATATTAGCTGAGTCAGATAAAGAATTCTCACCTCCCTCAGTTTATTGCATGCTCCTCATCTGGATAGTCCTAAACAGAAAAAAAAACATTTGTGAACTTGGCATTCACATTCACATGTTCTTAGAGCTTTACAAAAATCTTCAGCATTCTTCAGTGATCAAGGAGAGACACAATATCTTATCTCCCTACCAATGCTAGACAACAGTAACAGACCACAGACGTTGCATTGCATCAGTGTTTACAGTAGATAAAGCCTAGAATAGATATGTACATCTCTAATCTGCCACTTTCCTCTTTACACTACACTAGCATTTTCCCTGGTGTTCTACAAATCTAGTTCCAGTAGAACTATCAGTCCTGAAGCTGTTAAACCTTCTCAGGGTTATTTTGAAGATGGGCAGCTCTGATATTACATTTTAAAAAATTATCTTTTTTTATCAAATTGTTTATCCAGCAAAACAAAAAATTACTTGTATTAGCATTAAATCATAGGCCATGCTAGTATCAAAACCCTGCTGGAAAATATACATGATACAGTTCAGTCCATACGTTTTTCAGATTAATAAAATTGTAATTTAAAATTAGTCACAGATGCAAATTGCTGCTGTCAGAGTCTCTAAATGTTGTTGGACAGGGCTTTATAGATGCTGGGGAACTTTAAATTCGCTTCCTGATCCTATACTTTGCTCCATAATACAGTAACTCCTCATTTAACATTGTCCCACTCATCGTTGTTTCAATGTTACGTCCCTGCTCAATTAGGGAACATGCTCATTTAAAGTTGTGCAAGGCTCCCTTATAACGTCGTTTGGCTGCCTGCTTGTAAGATTCTGTGGAAGAGCAGTGACTTTACAAGGGAGCATTGCACGAGTTCCGCTTCTCCGCCTCCCTCCCAGCACTTCCCCCGCCACTAAACAGCTGTTTGGCAGCGCTTAGGATTTTGGTGGGGAGGGATGTGGTGTACTCTGGAGAGAAGGTGGAGTGGGGGTGCGAAGAGGTGGGCCTGGAGTGGAGCGGGGACAGGAAGAGGCGGGCCTGGAGCATTCCCGGCAAAATCCGAACCTGTTCTCCGGGGAAGCTGCCGCTGCTGCTGCAAAGGTCCTTGCCTGCAGCAGGCTGTGCCTGTGTGGGGTAAGCCAGGGGCACTTCCCAACCACAGTACAGTACAGTACTGTACAGTAAACAGTATAATGCCTTTTGTCTGCCCCCAAAAAATTTCCTTGGAACCTAAACCCCTGCATTTACATTAAATCTTATATAACAATTGGATTCGTTTAACATTGTTTCACTTAAAGTTGCATTTTTCAGGAACATAACTACAACGTTAAGCGAGGAGTTACTGTACTATGAGCTGGGTGAATAATTAATTAAAAAATGCTCTGTGAATGTTCACTTGAAATATTAAATGAATTCACTGTAGTCGTGTATATGCCCCATTGAATATTTGCACAAGGTGAACAGTCCAATTTACTAGCACAACATCCATAGAAAGGGAATTTCAAACCAAGTTTCAATATGTTGGAAATGCGTGCACATTCATTGAATTATGGAACAAATGCCATGAGACTCACATGGCCAATCACAATTAAGAAACACAGTTCAAATTTGGAGAAAGTGATAAATCCATTGCGAATTTTTGAATAAATACAAATACAAATATAAAGGAAATCACTCACTGTGTGCAGAAAGAGGCTAAATTCAGATCAGCTTATTGCAATTCTCTTCCTCAGCTCTTCTGATAATATATCCCTTTTATGTTCCTGGTCCAATAATAGTGTGGCATGAGCTTACTATCTACACCAAGATCCTTTGATAGTTGGAACAATAACACATTTTCCTATAAGTATTTATAATCAGGACCCTGTCTATTCATATTCCCTCCCCTCTGTCATCATACTGTGTAGTGAGAGAAGAAAGTAGTCCTGGAACAATATCAAAGGCTTGTAGAAAATGTGAAACTTATGTGCACCACCGTTTTATTCACTCAAGGGGAATTTTTACATTCAGGCTGGATATACAGAACCCTATTCCATTAGTGGAATATTTTTTCTACCTTACTACCTTTCCAATTCAGCTTTCAGTAGGTTACCATTTGAATGTACATTTGTACATATCCAGTCTCCTGGAATGAATGTGAATTTAGGGATTTCTCCACAATCATTAGCATCAGCCTATTTATTTGTCTCTTGCATTCAAACTTCTGAGCAAATCAGAGGTTGTTTATAAACAGAGCTTCTAGTTAGTATTTCTAGTTAGTCATAGGACTGTCAAGATCTTGATGGTGAAGCTTCACCATCAAGATCTTGACAGTCCTATGACTAATTAGAAATATTTTTTGCTCCTAATTATTGCAAATATAGCATTCATTCCCATATTCAAGCACTGTCCTCAGTTGCACCTATTCCGTACCCATTTGCTGGGGTTGCACACTTGTAACTGAGGGCAGAATTTGAACCAGTTTGCTCCGACAGAAATCAATGATAAAGTGGCCACTCACTTCAGTGGGAGCAGAACTGGGGCACTAGATTAGGCTCCTCATCTTCACTATTCATGGGAGATATGGGTGAGGAAGAGGCACTGCTAATACTAGCTACAAATATTCCAGTGATGGCATTCCCACAGGAAGAGGAGGGTCTTAAGAGCTCTTTTTCAGCTAACAAAGCTACCAGCTGCTTTATTGTGGAGGAAGCTGTGGCCACCACAGCTTCTTCCCCAGTTTCATTAATTTCAAATCTCAGCCATAACTTTGCTCAAATAAAGACAACAGGATTCAGCCAGTGCTAGCCCAGCTGGCTCATGACACCACCCATTGACTTTGTGCATTTTTCTGTAAGCAAGCACTTGCAGGATTTGGCCCAAGTATTCACTGTTGTGATGCTATAATGAAGTAGATTAGTGAGGAGCATGGTGCTGGAGTCAGCCTTCCTCACAAATCCCCCTCCAAGCTCTATCACCATGTAACATGCTCCCCTAACACCTCTCTGTTTGGAGGAATTAGATTCCACTCTGCCCTTCTCTCAATATTTTCTCACTGGCTGCTTGCCACGCTCAAATTCTCAAGCCTCTTACCAACGCCTGCAGAAATTGATAGCATCCCTCTTCACATCTCCCTCTTTTCATTCCAGTTTAATTTTGACTAAATATTTTTAGTGCCTGTCAGAAAGAAAACTTGACTCATACATTAAAACCACCAGAAAAGCAGTACAAGATGCTAATTTAATCCTAGATGTATAAGCAAAATTTTAAAGAGACAAATGCTATTAAACTGCAGCTGCTAATGTTGCCAGTTTCACATACTTTTGAAGCTACTTAATCATTACAGAACGGCTCACGATTCCTTCAAACAGCCAGGCACAGACCCATGATATACCCTTAACTACGCTAATGAACAGTACATTTGCCTCTGTCAACGTCTCCAGTGCTGGAGTTGCAAACTGAACCTTATACAGTAGTGAGGACCTATGTAGCCCAGGGAGATTAAACCTAGGTGAGTGTTGGTTGTATTTGCAAGGCATGTCTCTCCTGAGTTCTGCCACATTGGCTTTAAATTATAACCCAGAGCTTATAGGAATTTCACGGACAAAAGTTGTCCAAGGGATGAGCTGAATTAGCACATCCTCCAGGTATCCTGAGCACACACCTTAACCAAATAGCACCACCTGCCTTGTACAGCTGCACTTCTCTTCCAAGTAGACTTTTCATCACTAGGGCACTCTACCTCAGGCTGGCATATCCCAGCCAAATATCTTGATTTAACAGAACTCTGCATTGGAACAGGACTCCTGCACTTTCTATACTCATTCACTGACAAACTAATAGCATTTACCAGGCCTGACTTAGGGATTTTTTTACACTCCGATTTCCAATTGCTGTTAGTGTTCATATGAAATACACTAAGCTGTAAGTTTGTGTGAGTATTATTGGATTATGATCTTTTTAAACACACACGATTGGGATGAAGCTAACCAAGCAATCAAAAGATGTGCAGCAGCATGTGTATGGGGGGGCGGGGAGGGGGGAGCAGGTGTCAGTAAGAGTACACTGCAACAAAAAAGCAATAGCATGAGAAGTCCCCTTATAATTATTCAAGTGACCAGAAAGATGTCAAAGATACTGCTGAATTGTGGGATGTAGTTTGTAAAGTCTCTTAAAACCCAGGATCAAAAGTGCCATACAAATGGCACTAATTTTGGAGCACTCTGTGGGTTCATTGACGGAGCTCATATATTCCTCAGTGCTACCTTAATTACCTTGGTACATAGAGCAGATATTTCATTCTTCTGCATAACAAGCTTCGCACTTAACAACCTTGTTGTTATAACTTCTCAAAGTTTCTCTTTTTACTGTTCTGTGGTCAATTACAGCCTCATCTCCCTCATCCATTATAACTGGCCTTTAGCCTGATAATAACAAGCACTCCAGAATATAATGGAAAATGGGAAATTTGTCCCCAGCTATTACCATAACCACCGACTGTAAAGGTTCTGAAACATCAACCAAAGCTCAATTATAGCTGACGTAAGTGCTCTACTCACTATCCACAGGGAACAGTTTAGAAAAGACATCTTTGGAACAACAGCAAAGTCTGCACTGAATCCCAGTGTAGCCCCCAAGGAGATTACCTAGATTCCTGGGGCTCTGTCTGCTGGCAGCTCAGGGAGAGGCACACTGTCCCTGGGAGGGAGGGGGAGCCAAGGCAGACTCAGAGTCTGCCTGGCAACCAATAGGGAGTGAGATGCCCTTCCCAGAGAGTTCAGGAAATGGGAGAAGCCAGTTTTGAGTCAGTCTGGAGCCAGTCAGGGCAAGGGCAGGACTGACTGTGTGGGGAGCTGGTGAGTCCCAGGCCTGCATGCAGGGTTCCCCCTGAGAACTGGCCTCCAGTGACCTGAAAGCAAGATCTCTCAGCTGGGCTTTTCCCTCTCCACCAATGACTCCCAGTTTATATAGTTTTGCTGGGAAATTTCCCCAGCCAATTTTCCCTCCAGCGCCCTAGGTCACCACATGGTCAGCTCTGCTCTGCTGCTAGTTCAGAGCTGCTGCCTGCTGTGAGTGTGTCTGGACACTGGGCTAGGAGATTACAGTTTGGATTTTAGTACAGTTGTGTAATCTGCACCTTGACCCCTGCACCTCTTTGTGGTGAGGGGAAATCCTGGGACCGAAGCAGCCTGACTCCTGCTTGAAGAGGATCCCTGCCAGCAGAGATCAGCCCCTCTGCAGTGACTGAGGAGTCCAGAGTCATCTCTGAACCTGAGGATCATTCATGGAGTTTGTGAGTGCACCATCTTTTAGTTAGTCAGTCAGGGAAATTGTTTTGGGGACCCCCTACTCCCTGAACTGTCCTCAAGCCAGGGAGTGAGGGTCTGGGGATTTTATAACCTGCTGCATATTAAACCTGTGGAGGGACTTACCACCTTCTCCCATTTGTGAGTCCTTTGGGCTGTACTGAACCCAGTCAGCCACACTGCTAAACCACTGCAGAGAAGATATTGTGGTCATAGGTCATCAAGGGCCCCAACAAAGTACACGTATCAATGGGACACTGATCTTACATTTGCTACACAAGGTCACGTGACTAGGGAAAGTCACAGGTATTATCAGCCTGGGCACCGGTGACCCTAAGAATAGTGTTTCACCCTGTTATGTTATATTTGTTTCCTGTTTAATATAATTATTGTGTTGGATATATTGTATGTGTTTGTATTTCCTGGAAGCCTCCAACTATCTGGCAAGTAAGTGAGGGTTACCATGT